TCTTTCTTTCTTTCTTTCTTCCTTTCTTTCTTCCTTCCTTCCTTCCTTCCTTCCTTCCTTCCTTCCTTCCTTCCTTCCTTCCTTTCTCTCTTTCTTTCTGAATAGTGAAGATGAAAACGCCCTAGAAAGACTCCATGATATTGAATCATTTATTTCATTCTTCATTTGGTATTCTTAATTCCTGTGTCATATAATTTAATGAAACTAACTTCTGAAATTTTCTTCTGAAAGGTTTCATTAGAAGAAAAGAATGCAACTATTATTTATGACCCTAAAATACATACTCCAAAGACTCTACAAGAAGCCATCGATGACATGGGCTTTGATGCTATTCTCCAGAATTCTAACCCACTCCCAGTTTTAACCAATACTGTATTTCTGACTGTTACTGCTCCACTGGCTCCACCGTGGGACCATATCCAAAGTACATTGCTCAAGACCAAGGGTGTGACTGACATTAAAATTTCCCCTCAGCAAAGAACTGCAGTAGTGACAATAATCCCTTCTATAGTGAGTGCCAGTCACATAGTAGAGTTGGTTCCTGACCTCAGTTTAGATATCGGAACTCAGGAGAAAAAGCCAGGAATCTGTGAAGACCCCAGCATGACTCAAGCAGGTGAAGTCATGCTGAAGATGAAGGTGGAGGGTATGACCTGCCACTCATGCACAAGCACCATTGAAGGAAAAATTGGGAAACTGCAAGGTGTTCAGCGAATTAAAGGTGATTTCTTCACTGCTTTTTTTTAATCGATTATTTTGTAAGGCTTTGTTTTCTGTGTTTTTCTTTTTGTGTTAGTACTGAGGCTTGAAATCAGGGCCTGGGTACCTGTCCATTAGTTTTTTCACTTAAGGCTGGTGCCCTGCCATCTGACCTACAACTTCTGGTTTTGGTGGTTGACTGAAGATAAGAGTTTCTGCTGGGCCAAGCACCCGTGGCTCATGCCTGTAATCCTAGCTACTCAGGAGGTTGAGATCTGAGGATTGTGGTTCAAAGCCAGCCCAGGCAGGAAAGTCCAAGAGACTCTTATCTCTAACTAACCACCAGAAAACTGGAAGTGGTGCTGTGGCTCAAGTGGTAGAGCACTAGCCTTGAGCTGAAGAGCTGAGGGACAGTACCCAGGCCCAGTTCAAACCCCAGGACTGAAAAAAAAAGTGTTTCTGTCTGAGCTGGCTTCAAAACATAATCCTCAGATCCCAGCTAAGATTACAGGCATGAGCCACTGCTGCCTGGCTTCATTTTCTGTTTTATCTTTTCACTTTTTGCTTTCTTCCCAGGTGTAGGTTTCAACTTTGTGGGACTTGTTGCCTTATTGGAGTTTGAGGCATAGCATATTCCCAGTATTAATGGCAATAAAGTTAATGATTATAATGAGAGTCTTGGATTTTAGTTTGGCAGAAAAGGCTAAAAGCTGGGGTGGTGACTTAGGGAGTTCAGACTTTTTTTTTTGTTGGTCGTGGAGCTTAAACTCTGGGCCTGAGTGCTGTCCCTGAGCTCTTCAGCTCAAGGATAGTGCTCTACCACTTGAGCTACAGTGCCAGTTCCGGTTTTCTGGTGGTTTATTGGAGATAAGAGTTTCACAGGCTTTCTTGCCCAGGCTGGCTTTGAACCATGATCCTCAGATCTCAGCCTCCTGAGTAGCTAGAATTACAGGCATGAGCCACCAGCACCCGGCAGGGAGTTCAGACTTTTTACCACATCATGCCTAGGATACTTACTCAATTTGTTTTTACTTAGGCAATTGGAAACTTAGAGACTATAGAACAGTGGTCACACCTTTTGCCTTGGTTCTAGCATGTTTACTAGTTTCACATCTTAAGAAAAAATCCAAAATGATTTTAAGAAAAGCTGATGTGAAGACAGACAATGATTCTGAAGTGGCCCGGGATGATATGAAATGAAATAATTATGTTTCTTTCCATTAACTAGTCTCCCTGGACAATCAAGAAGCTACTATTGTTTATCAGCCTCATTTGATCACTGTAGAGGAAATAAAGAAACAGGTTGAAGCAGCAGGCTTCCCAGCATTTGTCAAAAAACAGCCCAAGTACCTGAAATTGGGAGCTATTGATGTCGAGCGCCTAAAGAACACACCAGTGAAATCTCCAGAAGGATCTCAGCAAAGGAGTCCCTCACACACCAGTGATTCTACAGCTACTTTCATCATAGATGGCATGCATTGTAAATCATGTGTGTCAAATATCGAAAGTGCTTTCTCTACACTCCAATATGTAAGCAGCATTGTCGTTTCTTTAGAGAATAGGTCTGCCACTGTAAAATACAATGCAAGTTCAGTCACTCCAGAAACTCTGAGAAAAGCAATAGAGGCTGTCTCACCAGGACAATATAGAGTTAGCATTGCAAGTGAAGTTGAGAGTACTTCCAACTCTCCCTCTGCCACTTCTCCTCAAAAGACACCTTTGAATACAGTTAGCCAGCCTCTGACTCAGGAAACCCTGATAAACATTGTTGGCATGACTTGTAATTCCTGCGTGCAGTCTATTGAGGGGGTCATATCAAAAAAGCCAGGTGTGAAATCCATCCGCGTCTCCCTAGCAAACAGCAATGGGACTGTGGAGTATGATCCTCTACTCACTTCTCCAGAGACCTTGAGAGAAGCAATAGAAGACATGGGATTTGATGCCACCTTATCAGGTAAATACCCTTTTTCTCTTTGATTTACCAAATGCTTTTTGATTTCCATCCAGTAAGATGGAAAACAATGTGGTACTTTGGCTTTTAATAACGAGAAAGGATTCATAGGCACTAAAATTCCACTTTTTACAAGTAAGTCCCAAGAAGGTAATCCATGTATGGTTCATGTAAGGATGTTTGCAGAATTTGTTTTAGTTTTTTTTTTTTTGTTGGTCATGGGGCCTGAACTCTGGGCCTGGGCACTGCCCCTCAGCTCTTCAGCTCAAGGCTAGCGCTTTACCACTTGAGCCACAGTGCCACTTCCAGCTTTTTCTGCTTATGTGGTGCTGAGGAATCAAACCCAGGGCCTCATGTATGCAAGGCAAGCACTCTACCACTGAGCCACCTTCTCAACCCCCAGTTTTAGTATTTTAAAACTACAAATAATAAATAAATCATGGTATGATCAT